AAAACACATCAGCCATAAAATAGTACAATGGCAAATTCGCATAGGCCTATATTAAACATCTAATACGCTCCTGCGGCTATGGAACCAGGCCCCACAGCTCGGCACGCATGTGATTCGCAGACTCATTTGCCAATTTATAAGTTCAAGCGATTTTAAATCACAAGAAGAAGCAGCGAAAGAGAACTGGATTCGTTAGCACGCTCTGTTTTCTGTGAACAGCAGGTGCACACACTTGAAGATGAGTTCATTCCTCTTTCACTTCTACTTGCGTTTAAGATTGCCTACATACATATACAATTATGTCAAAAAACAGCTGAATTTGTTAAGTTTTAGAGGGGGTGTACTCATTTATGCTGTGCACTGTATATATATATATATATCCCCCACTCCAGCCGGTCCGTGAGATTATTTTCAAAAAATAACCAGTACGTGGTGTAAAAAAAGTATACAGTACGTGGTGTAAAAGTAATATACAGTAGATGCGGTGTGTCAAATTTACTACACTACATTTGACAAGCGCATGTCTCTTCTACTGGTGTTTGTGCAACAGAATCAACAATCACGCACTCATATTACTTCTAATGTGATACGCATATAATAATAATAATAATAACAACGCTTCTAATGTGATCATCATTTGTAGAATAATGCCTCTGTGAAAAAACTGTCCTGTTAGAGAAATAATTTTAAACTTAAGTTTTAAGTTTATTTCACAGTTTAAATCATATAAATATTTGCATGATATTATATAGGCTAAAACATATAACTTGTGTTTGTTTGTTTGCTGGTTTTCATTGTATTTGTATTTTTTAAACTGTTTTTGCCATGAAAATAGCCTTTGATGCTGACATGGCACTAAATAAATATCACTACTACTATAGGCTAAAACAAAGATCGCTGGATATCAAAAGTAATTTATAGGCATAATTGTCAACATTTCCACCATATTGGTTACTTTCTTTACTGACGAAATATAGGCTAAGGATTTGTGTTTTAAAATCCATGTAAAGAAGAGCATAGACACAGTAGCTCATTTTTATATCACTACAAAGTTACATGAAGAATAAGATCTGAACTTACTACAAAATGTGCAACAGCCCTAAGGTTTCTTGAAATGACGTCTCTTCTTTCTCCTCTTTTACTTTCTTTTCTCAAGGTTAAGGTGTGTCTTGTTCTTCTTCTTCTTCTGTTTTTGGCGTGTTGCATTCTGTGTATATCGCCACCTACTTTTGCTGTTATGCAGTCATGGTTTATTTATAATCAGTTTCTTCCTTGCTTTTGCTCTTTCTGTTCTTTCACACATATTCACATATCTATACATATATTCCTACTCATAATTATTTGATGCTCCATCCCATTCCATCTCTTCAAGTTCCACCTGGCGCTGCGTGTTAAATTAAATCCAGAATAGACTAGACCATCCTTATTCTTTATTTAAATCCTTTCACTTAACCCAGTAGTATATATGTATTTTATTAATATCCTATGTCCTACTCTATCTCTATTAAAACCCTGTCCTAACAAATATTCCAAATCCTTATTTACCTTACCTTTTTTTGTTTAAACATTATATTAATACCTTTCTTTCTTCGTCATACCTTTTACACTCATATATCACATGCACCACTGTTTCTTTCTCTCCACAATTCTCACTAATACCTTTCTTTCTTCGTCATACCTTTTACACTCATATATCACATGCGCCACTGTTTCTTTCTCTCCACAATTCTCACATAGACCAGTCTCATGTACTCCAGTTATGAACAGCAATGTGTTTAATCCTGAGTGTCCAAGTCTCATTATAGTAATTGTGACCTCTTCTTTCCTATTTCTACCACTTATACGTTTTTAGTACCTACCATTTTTATATAAATGCCGTCCCTTTTTATCTGTATTCCATGTTTGCTGCCATTCTTTAGTAATATTTTCCTTGGTTTTAACTTCACCTTTACTTAAAGGAACTTTAAAGTCTATTATTTTAAGCATTTTTTGCTAATTCATCAGCAGATTAATTACCAGCTATTCCTACATGTGCTGGCACCCAGCAGGATCCGATTACCACTACTTTCCTTTGTATACACCATAATAATGTATATTTTACACATCAAATCTTCTCTAGAAGAATGGCGAATTGCGCAGGGCATTATCACAGTTTGAACGGGATTGTAGTCAGATGTGTGTTGTTTTCCTGTTTTACCTGTTTATAGGTACGTCTCTTTCTCTCGGCTCACTGCGGTCAGATGATCAGACAGAACAGGGACAGACTCCAGCAGCAGAGACTCCAACAACATCTATTCAGGACATTAGAGAGGAACCAATGAAGATGAAGAATGCAAACGGACTGAGAGATGAGAGGAGAGATCAGGAAGACACATGGAGGAGAGCAGTCAGTGTGTGAGTGTGACGTCTGTCTGAACACATGCTTCAGTCACACACTAAATCACTGCTTCAGCTCAATGTTTAGTGTCTGGATCTCTCAGTCCTCAATCTGAATTTAACAGAAGTAACGTGACAGCCAATGAACGTAATTCACCGTCTGCAAAGATATACCAAAGAAAACCAGTAACCCAATGTTACACTGTGCAGCTGTTACATTAGAGAGACATTTTCACCTGATCTGAGCCTTAAAAGTTACGTTCACTAATTCAGCCTAATGAAGTCAGCTTGATTCAGTCATATTAATTCATAATTGAACAATTATTTTGACCTGGAACCTGGAAGTTTTATTTAGATGTTACCAGATGAAGCCAGGTGAGTCTGTATGCCAAATTTACCACACTTAAGAACCAGCAGGTATTTCTGTAAGTCTCACTTGTGCAACAGAATTAAAATTGGTTCTTTGATATTGTTTAAATATGTGTGTACGTATTATATATAATAATAAAAACACAAACTTTGTGCATTAAGTGTCAACTGGCAAAATAAATATATTCAAATTCACAATAATTAATGGTAAACTTTAATCATTTGAGCTATTACATTATGACCACCTGTCTAATAACCTGTAGGATCTCATTTAGGCCTCAAAACAGTGGCCATACGGCAAGGCATTGATTCGAAGAGGTGGTGATAGGTCTCCTGGGGTATCTGTTACCATAATGTCAACAGCAGGTCCTCCGGTTCCCGTAAAGCTGTGGGGTGGTGGTGATGTAGTGCGAACACGTTTTTCGATTGGGTTCATGTCAGGTGAATTTGGAGCCCATTGACAGAAATTCACTATCATGTTCCTTGAACCACTCTTTGATGACTCTGGCATTATCCTGTTGGTAATGGCCATCACTGGCAAGGAACATACATGAATGGGTGCACTTGGTCCACAACGATGTTCAGATACCTGACAGCTGTCAGGAATTGTGCTATTGGGATAATGGGGCCTAAAAAGTGTCTCAAGAAGACATCCAACAGCATCCAGGTGCATAGTTTCTGTTGGCAGCCGGCGTATCCGCACTCAGCCGTCAGCCTGATGCACCAGGAATCGTTTCATCAGACCAAGCCACTTTCTTTCTTTCCATGGTCCAGTCTTGATGATCTTGGGCCCATTTCATGTGTTGCTGGCAATGACGTACTGTTAGCTTGGGGACTTGGCTGAGTTCTCGGCTACACAGGCCTATACGCAGAAGGCTGTGGTGAACTGTGTGCTGTGACACATTGCCCTGGTCACTGCTGTTGTAGCTTCTGATGATTTCTCACAGTGTGGCCTTGCAGTCGCTGTGAACAATGTGCAAGTCTCCGCTCTACTCTGGCATCAATGAGCTGCAGACGACACATGGCTGGACGGCGGTTCATCATTTGGCCATCCGTACACCATTTTTGATACATACTCGCTACAGCGACATGTGAACAACCCACAATGCATGCCGTTTCCGAGAACGAAGTTCCAAGGCGTCGTATCACCACAATTTGTCCATTCTGTTGCCAGGTGCACTCACTGCTCTAGGCTGGGGGTGGTCATAATGTTATGGTTCATTGGTGTATATACAGATATAAAGTGCCATGTTTTTTTGTTTTTGAAGAAAACCAGTAACCAGTAAATGTTACACTGAGTACACTAAACAGCTAGTTTCACTTGATCTGACTCTTAAGATTTTAAAGAATTAAAGTTATTTTCAGTGGTAAAAAGTAATAAAGTGAAGCTGATTCCATATTAATTAATATTTTACTTTTAATTTTAATTGAATAAAATCTGGATGAATTTAGATGTTAGCACATGAAGCACATGTTTAGGTTAACAAAACAAATGTTTGGACAAAACCAAGACAAAACTGAAAAATAAAGCAGTCAAAATCAACAAAAGACCAATGATATGCAAGTGCTATAACAAGTCTCAGTTAGCTTAATGCAGAAAACGTAGCAAGGTTTTTTAAATCATATAACAAATAAAAAGAAAACGAAAAAATAAATAAATAAATAAAATAAAAAGATAGAATAGGAAAAGAATAGAGCAAGCTAGAGTTAGAGGCCTTTTTTTGTTTTTGTTAATTGTCTAAAAGGGGCATAAAGAGACTCTGTGAATGTGTTGTTGAATGTGTGTAAGTGTGTGAGTGTGTGTGTGTCAGAGACGCTGTAGAAGGACAGGGTACCAGCAGACCAATCCAGATACACTCCTACTCTGTTAGAGAATGAGGGGTCTGGTATGTCTATTTTCCTATTATTGTTCCAGACAGTGTATCTGTTATCAGTGCAGTACAGACACCAGGATGTATCACTGAATACAAACCAAGAGACACTTCCTCCTTTCCTGCTGATCCCTTTATATGTCACTGAGACCTACATTTTCTCAGTGTTGGTCTGATTCTTAAACGTTCTCCATGATCCAAACTAGAAAGAGATGCATATGATAAATGATAAAGCACAAATAATAAATGTTTGATTACTAAGGGCCAGATTTACTAACAGCTTGCGCCAGCGTAAACCGTCTTTTCGCATTAAAATAGTACTGTCAGGATTTACCAAAGACGCGTAGTGTAGAATAAGCGCTGAAAAGGCGTGGATATAGTTATTTTTGCGCCTGACCTTATTGAATATATGCATTTGTAGGGGTTTCTCTTTCAGAAGTAGAATTTTTGGGAGGAGAGCATTAAAATGAATCACGCAACGCGATTTACTGATGTTTGCACTCGTCAAATCACTCGTATTTGCGCCATTATTTAATGCCCAAAAAAGCATGTCTTAATGCAGACACTAATTTGCACTGCTCTTGGTAGATTGTGTTGGTCATTTTGGAAATTATCTGGCTGTGTCTATGTTCTTTAATTTGTGCATTGTCAGTAAATCACCCGCATAAATTTCCACTCCCATCGTCGCGGTTTTGGAATTGCTCTATCGCGCTAATTTGCAGTTTAGTAAATCTGGCCCTAAAAGTGTGCCAGAAGCAGTTGAAATGTCAGTGAGCACTTTAAATCCATTAATAAATCTCAAAATAAGACTTGTAAAACAGGAGCCAAATATAATATAAAAAACTCAAACCATTACAGAGCTCCAAAGACAGATAATCTACAGACACACAGTCAGATCATCTACAGACACACACAGTCAGATCATCCACAGACACAGTCAGATCATCTACAGACACACAAAGTCAGATCATCTACAGACACACAATCAGATAATCTACAGACACACACAGTCATATCATCTGCAGACACACAGTCAGATCATCCACAGACACACAGTCAGATCATACAGACACACACAGTCAGATCATCCACAGACACAGTCAGATCATCTACAGACACACACAGTCAGATCATATACAGACACACACAGTCAGATCATCTGCAGACACACAGTCAGATCATCCACAGACAGTCAGATCATCTACAGACACACAGTCAGATCATCTACAGACACACAGACACAGATCATCCACAGACACACACAGATCATCTACAGACACAGATCATATAGACACACAGTCAGATCATCTGCAGACACACACAGTCAGATCATCTACAGACACACACAGATCATCTACAGACACATAGTCAGATCATCCACAGACAGTCAGATCATCTGCAGACACACAAATCAGATCATCTACAGACACACAATCAGATAATCTACAGACACACACAGTCATATCATCTGCAGACACACAGTCAGATCATCCACAGACACACAGTCAGATCATCTACATCGTTTGATTTAGTATTTATAGCCCTGCCTTTCCTCAGTTTCTTTGTCCTGTCTCCGTTGTGTAAAGAGGTTGTTTTCTCCTACGTTCCCATTGAGATTTATTAAAGACTCTGTTCGTTTGATTATCTGCCTCCTTTGTACTCCTTCGAGCTCCTTTCCCCTGGCAACCCGTGACAGGTTATGAGTAATCTTAAATTAATTAGCCTTCATGTAAAAGGGGTTAACCATGTTGTCAAAAGGCAAAAACTTTCTCTATTTTTCAGAAAGAGAAATTTCAGATTGCATTGCTTCAAGAAACCCATATTTCTGATATAGAGCACATGAAGCTGCATAGAAACTGGGTCGGCCAGTTTTTTTTAAGTCTTTTCTTATAAGTCCAATAGTAGGGGAGTTTCAATTCTTCTTCATAAAAATATTCCCTTTAAATATGAAAAATCAGTTACAGATAAAGAAGGTCACTATGTGCTTGCATGACTAAAAATAGCTGTCCAAGTTCATTCCCACAATTGTTCACTGAGTGACCTGACTTGTCTTAAAAAGGGCTTTGAAACTCTCCCTCACTAACCACAGCTTACTCGTGCTTTGGACAGATGCAAAATGCAAAAAAAAAAAAAATAGCTAGACTCTTACTTGGGGTCAGAGGTCACTGTTGCATCAGTGAAGTCAGAGGGCAGATTCTTCATTGGTTAATAAAAAACAAAGTTAAAAAGTTAAAAACATGTTTTGTATAGTAGAAATTATCATGTGCTGCTTTAACTCTCAGTTCTTTAGTACTGTTCTACAGTACAGATTTATTCTTACTTGTGTTGTGTTGTAACTGCCGGACATTGCAGTCTAATTATTTTACTATTGATAATAAAAAAAATAAAGTACAAATACAGTTAATTACTTTTATTTATTTAGATATTGCAGCTCAGGTTCACTGTACATGTTAAACTCAATAAGGCACAACTGCAGTTTAGTTTGGCAGAACAATAGCTTTGATGATGAATTATTACAGGTTCAAGACTCAGAATGATGTCTCTTCTTTTCCTCTTACTTTTGTCTCTAGTTACCTGGTTAAGGTGAGTGTTGTTTACACATAATAGTATTACAATCAAACTGCCTCTAGTGGCGCAGAGTAGCATCACATTCTCAGGGCAGTTGTGCTTTAAACTGCTTTAGGTTACTGAACACACACACACACAGTATGAATGAAGATTGAACTCAACATGGGAAGTAGACATTAGGGAAAAAATATGAGGTTTAAGGAATCAAATAATGTTTTGTAGTGATTCTACTCCATGATGAACACAACTGACTACTGACCAAAAAAAAAACAAAAAAAAACATACATTCAACCATACAGTATATCCAAAATGTTATATATTCTGAATGAAATCTGCATATGTCATTATTTATCATTAAAGCAAATATTTTTTTAAGAAAACCAGTAACCCAATATTAAACTGTGTAGCTGTTACAATCAAGAAACATTTTTTTCCTGCCCTGATGCTTAAACATTAACTGTAACTGCTGTAACCACCTGAAGTCAGATATATTCAGTCAGATTAGTTAATAAATAATAACTAATCCAGAACTGGGGGGTGTAAACAGTGCATACAACACAGTGCATACAACAAAAATGTAACAGTAACATACAATATCAATTTGACTATCTTTGAGTCTACTAAAACTCCCACAACACCAGGCGAAACCCGATACGTGATACACCCTTTAAAACCTAGAGGTGAAAAGAACTGGGACAGAAAAAACATAAGTTATGAAGTGTAGTGTCAAATTTAAATAAAGACAGTACTAGATAAATGACACTTTAAAACCTAGAGGTGAAAAGAACTGGGACAGAAAAAACATAAGTTATGAAGTGTAGTGTAAAATATAAATAAAGACAGTACTAGATAAATGACAAAAAAAATAGAAAAAAGATTTCTATATATAGTGCATTATTCATTTTTCTGTTTTTCTTATATTAGTGTTATTTCATCTTTACTGAGTAATTCCATGTATGTCTACTCTGCACATATCGTTGCATTTCCTCACAGGAGGTTGTTAAATTTGACAGAAACACAGAAGAATCAGGATAAAGTCTAAATCCAGCATAGAGGTGTTCAGTGAATGTGGTGTTGAATGTGTGTAAGTGTGTGAGTGTGTGTGTGTCAGAGACGCTGTAGAAGGACAGAGTGCCGGCAGACCAGTCCACATACACTCCTACTCTATTAGATGATGAATGGAGAGGAATGTTTGTCCTCTTATTATTGTGCCAAACAGAGTAAATTGTATCACAACAGTAAAGATTCCAGGACTTGTCATTGAGTCCAAACCGACAGTCGCTCCCACCTTTCCTGCTGATTCCTTTATATGCCACTGCAATGTGAGCCCAGCCGCTCCATTCAACCTCCCAGTAACAGCGTCCAGTCAGACTCTCTCCACACAGAACCTGCTCATAGTTCTCAAATCTCTCTGGATGATCAGGATACGGCTGGTAATCTTTCACACATGTTGTTTTTCTGTTCTCCTCAGACAGGATGAGTTTAGTGTGTGCTGTGTTTGGATCCAGTGTGAGATCACAGGCGTCTGAACACAAGAAGAGAGTTCACATCATCTATGATATCATTAAATATGCACAGGTGTGTTTGACTGAGAGAACTTACATTTTCGTAGTGTTGGTGTGATCCTGAAATGCCCTCCATGTTTTAAACTGAGACAAAACAACAACAAAAAATGTTCAGTGGACTAATAACAAACAATATCTTTGGGATAACTTTCTGATTTGTTTTTCCAGCTGATAAATGATAAAACACTGACAGCTAATCGGAATTCATTAGAATTGTTAGGGCTTGTGTGTTTAAAATGGCAGACGACATTGCAGAGAAGCTCTACACAGCAAACAGTGTAACATAAAACATAAAATTACCTCAAGTATCCAGCGCTAGTTTTGACTACATTGTCTTGCCTCCTTTGAAGTTGTAGTGAAACAGACTATGCATTGTTTTATTTGTTGTTTGTGTTGTTAGATCAAATAGATTACACTAGCTAGATTTCCTGTTTAGATGTGCTCAAAATGTAGCATGCTTGAGGACATCTACTGGTTAAAGACATGTAAATGCAACAAGAACAGCAAAAATTGAAACAAACAAAAAAAAAA